AGTGTTTTTGAGAACGTGTTGATATAAGAGAAAGGGGGGTAACAGATATATGAAACCTGACCAATGAGAGAGACGATAAATTCACAATGTATATTAGTCGGAATATCTGAATGGAAGATGACACTTGAGAGAACTTAGCATAGATGGAAGGATAATATTAGAACGGATTTGGAAGAAAAATGTTAGGAATTACACATAATTTACCTGACTCATGACAGTGTACAGTGGCGGAACTTGCAAGTACGGCAAAGACGTTTCGGGGATAAATTTCCAAGAAACAGCCAGACCGCTTTATGAAACACGAAACAGACTGACAGACTACATACAAAATCTTAAAATGCGTAGTTTATTTCACCGCTGAGCACTTCCCGTTATACAACGCATAATTTTTTAAACATACGCGACGTTTCAGGAGCAGAAAATCGTAAGCTATTTCCTTAACATAACTCTGATTTCTATAGTTGAAGGAAAACATATTTAATAAACATAATTACCTACGTATTCACCCCCGTTATAACATAACTTAGTTTGTTCCTAGATTCTGACTTGTAAGTGGTTTACTATATTGTTCACACTACAATGTACGAACCTTTGCTGCGTGGAATATTAGCGCTAGATAAATTACTACCAATGGGGAGGGAGGAAAGGGTGAAAGTTCGAACGATAACACATCCCTATCCATAAAGCACAGCTGAAAACAATAACCTCACCCACCCCCTTACCAATCTCCTACTAAACCTCTCCTCCCTCCATCTATATAGCTAATGGAGCGGATATTTACCATTCCGATTCTGTAAGATACAATAAGACGATTTCAAAGGTTAGAATACACACTCACACAACCTGGAATCTATTATAATAGGGGCTAATTGGCAAACAATGTAGCATTCACTTACATGTTTGCTATTCAAGGAAAGCGTACTTTACTGCCTTATATAAGGGGGCGCTACTAGCAGGCACTGTCTTCGTCAGCCATGCATAATAGAAGGTAGGGGAGGGTCTATTAGAATATCCAGCAGCCTGATCAAATACGAGACTTGTAACGTGGAAGTTCTGTAGACAGAACGGGTCTACTGATCGCATGTTAGACACGTTTAATGTGTTTCTAGGGTATTTTTCGAGTTCTTCATCATTACCACTTTTCTTCTTCATTATTATCATCATCATCATCATTATTCTCAATGTATTATTTTCAGTGATAAGCTACAAAATATCTTTCTGATTAATCACAATCTTTAACGATAACTAAACGTAACTAAACTTACTCTTTGTTTGCTCTAGCAGTCATTCTGAAAACTTCACAATAATAACATCTTAACGTCCACCAAGATCACCATAATTATTCTGATGCCATTTCTCATTATGTGATAGAAATGTAGAAACAAAAAGGCGATTTGTAAGACATCACAAAAATTTTCGTAAGATAAAATATATTTTATTCTTTTTATAAATTAATTTAAAATGTATTTAAATACCAGAAGAAATAAATAAAAATAAATAAATAAGAATTCACGGACAATTTACGACTTTACTAGTAGAAAATTATATATTATTTTTATCATAATCTCTTTAAGTGAAAGAAATTAAATTTAAAATTTCTGAATTCAAGTTTACAATTTTATGTCGAAAGTATAGACATTAGAACTTTTATGTTTTTTTTTGTATATTCTTATAAATAAACTGTCCAGAATATAAACTTTTATAACCGCAATAACTTACATTATTAAAAACCACGTTATTATTTTGCCATAAGAATAGTTTAAGAATAAATCCGTGAACTGGCCAGTTCTGAGGCCTGGCTCGTCTGAAGTTTAACTGCAGTGTGTGGATGTTTCTTCCAAACACTCAGTTTCCTTGGGAAAAGCAACAGTAACTTCACAGTAATCACAGGCAACAAACCAGGATTACCCTTAGACGGATCCAATGAGCAGTAACTTCTGATAGACTCAACGGGAAACTCTCCCTTCTCGTTCACAACTAAAGCTTCTTTTCCAGCTCTCCTGGGCACATTGGCACCTCACCAGTAAAAGAAGCACACACACACAATTCCTTCGTCCACTTCCAATTTATCCCATCGTCCCTAACACGTACCGACGTTCAAGTCTTGGAAAACTACAGACAAATGTTATTACCTTAACAGCGTCTAGTTGTTCAGACAAATAAAGAATGGATGATAGCAGACTATTCTCCTGAATCGAACATCTTCTTCGAAAACACAATTTTGAAAACTGTGCACGTAGCGCGTAAGGAAACTGGGGTATAATATTAAAATGGATCTATAGGAAATTGAAGCCACGGTGGTCTAGCGGCTAGAACGCTGGCCTTGTAATCCTGGGGTCTCGGGTTCGATTCCCGGCGGGGCCCGCATTTATAACTTGTGTTGGGCAAGGCCGTGGTCTAGGCAACACGGAGTTTTCCTCCGTGGCATCCCAACAATTACTCCATTCACACACAGAAGAAGGCAATGGCAAACCACTTCTGGATCATCTGCCAAGAACGTATATGAACAGGTCCCAGTCCGAGAAAAGGATGGAAGGATCCTGTTCATATGGACCTGTCGTCAGACAGAACACTAAATAAATAAAATAGGAAATTGGCAGTGGACTGAATTTGTATGGATCTGGGTATGGAACAGTAGCGGGCCTCGTATGAATGTTAATAAACTTTCGAGCTACAAGGAATTTATTGATCATCAGAGTGACCATTAACTTCACAACGAGGTCTTTGAATCATGGAGATTATTAAGTTATATTTACTGAACATGTAAAAAAAACGTTCTAGTCAACATATACGATGAAGCTAGCAAAAATTACAAATTAATAATCACAGTCACGGTTTATTGATACATTTTTGTAAATAATTCTCGCTATGATATTCGCACTATCGTGTACTTGTCAGTTATAACCTCAAAGTTTCGCACCATCGTTATGTTTGTAACTGTAAACATATTGGCTCAAACAATATTTTAATTATATTTGTAATTATGTCAATGATATATCTTCATATTCAATTTCACATGACTAGCAAAATGAGTTCTATAGTCACCGCCATTAAACAGAAACATTTTGTATGGCCTAGTTTTACTGTTTAACAAAAAAAACCTGTAGATTCTTGAAGTGACACTAGTGCTGTCTGGATCCTGAAGTATTAGTGTCAGTAGGGGAGAAAATCAAGAAGTGAGTGAACTTTAGTGACATACCGTTCGTACAAGTTCTCAAAAAAGTCTTTTCGTGAGCTCAAAAGTTATCGAACTGGTCCGCCAGCTGAACCCACTCCACGGTTCGTCTTAATAAGGACTTAAAAAATACATTAAACATAAGAATTTCTATTCCTAAGCGTTCTGTAGTGCCACAAATAACTCTAACCTCATCCTTCTTCATACACCCTGGACCAAAAAGTGATCAACTTCTTTCTAATATTCCAATGAGAGACCAAGTTTCACACCCATATCCCTTCGCTATTGTATCCGTTTATGTAACTTCATAGAGAACAGCTTGTCTTGAAAGCTAACAGTTGCTCAGATTTTCAAGAAACCAAATTGTTCATTACCGCGTTCATTCGATACTGTCATTTCTCCCTATCTTGAGCCAGTTGAAACTACTCACACCCACATCCATCTAATATTATCCTCTGTCTGCGTTTACGTCTCCCGAATGACATCCTCTCTTCAGCTTTTAAGAATAGTGTCGGATACATTTGGCTTCTGCCCCGATGTCAGCTGTATCAACTGACGGATCGGACATCTCTGAGGAGCACGTGTCTTGTGCTCAAGTGAGGAAGTACTCAAGACTGGCAATCGTGCAGTACAACAGTTTTTTAAACACTGAATTATTTTTGCCAAGGTTGGTGTACCTACGCTAATTATTCTTGGATGCTATCGATGAGTGAAGGGACAACGCACTACTTTCAAAGCGTGTGTAAACAAAGACAAGTGTTTGTTAACGTAGAATATTATTTATTTCAGGTTTACAGAACTCGGGGCAATGAAAAGATGGCGTTTTCTTTCATGCACTATTTCCTTTCGAAAATACATATAAAAAATAAAGAGGATGAGAATCTTCAAAGAAATAATAAATGAAAGAAAGAAATACAATTTTGATGAGCGTCAGAGTTGAGATACATAGAAAAAGCTTCTTGTTCTGCAGAAGACCACGCCACTTGGATACTGAACAATAACAGGACATTCCACCCTGAAGCTAGCAAGTCAGTCTTTGGTTTAGAGCAGAGGTGATGACCCTTGACATTACTGAAGACAGACGTACAGACATGCACAAGAGAGGGGGACAGAATTGTATTTTAGGGGTGACAAAATCCTTTACTTTCCTCCCTGGAAGAACATTTTAGACAGCATAGAAACGTAAAGTCGATGTATTTTAAACAGTTATCAATCATATATCGATAAATAAGTAAGAAACCTTTATGACAACAATTTTCCTTCTGAAACTTTTACAATCTAGTCATACATTTTTTGAGCATAATTCATACCAATTTCAATTGTGTTCTGTGTCTCAGGTATGACACCAAAGTTTCGGGCTATGGTAATGCATGATATTAATATTATGTTCTTTGAAAATCTATTAACTGGTTAAAAACTTACTATGAGATACATACACATAAACAAGCAAAATAAGGTGTAACTTTGTAAAAGAAATAACTGTGGTATATAGAATATCTGTGATTACAGAGAATAATATATACTCGTAGTCCTGAGGTAATTCATTTTCGGTAGTCATGTGAGTGAGGACGAAGAATTAATACACAGATGTCGGCTATAATAAAACTGAAATATAGACCTATATTTGTGTTTCCTCCATCTTAAATTCCGAATAAGAAGGGCCTAAAGATTATGAGTTATTTTTCCAATTTTTAAATTAGAAGCAGACATTCTAACAATTGTCTGAATAGGGTAAGTTACAGTCTACTTCCCAGTAGAAGGGTTGTGGTCATCCTTGTACACTAGTTCAACTAAAGGTAGATAGAGCCGATTCATTATTACTCACGTTTAAAATGAAAGCCAAGAATTCGAGGAAGAGACAGTGCACGACAGACATCCTTCGTGGTGTCCAGTTCTCATAATAAATCGGTTTCTGTGCCAGCTGGAACATATGAAGGCAGAATGATTTTTATCAGAACACGATTTCGTATTAGTAACCTTTGCTCTGTACTGTATTGTTTGCTATTACAATATTAGAGACATGATTTCGTTAGCTGCTTAAAATATTGTGAAACCGAACGTGTAACTTCAGATTTTATTTTACGAAACAAAACCTGTTCTAATTAACATTAACACTTTACGTGTTTACGTACTTCCATAAAGTTACTAATCCTTAGTCTAAAATCTGAAGGCAAAGACAGGACAGATTTTAAATGTACATAGCGGGAAAAAGCAGTGTCAAGTCGACGTATATCGTAAGGAGCATCGGAGAGGATAAAATGTGTGTAATACAATTCTAATAGCCATCCTACTACCACCAAGATCTGCACCGGCGGCGGCTCCAGGCGGGCTCGCGCCTATCACGAATACATATCACGAACAGACCTGAGTTCGAGAGGGTGGAATACATTCTTTAAACATTAGCGATTTAGCTTTGCCATAAGGTATTAGAGATTCTGCCAGCATTATCCTGTGACCAGTAAAACGAACCTTAGGGCCTCAGAAGAGGCTTGAATTTCCTTGACCACCTGAGCGATTATTAATTCATCAAACGACATATCTACGCGGTTACTTAAATCAATTAACTGTTTACAGTCGGAGGAACCAAATCATGTTCACTCTGCTTTCGTCACGTGACTCACTGACTGCAGGATAAAACGTTAAATGACTTGCACCGCTGATATCATCAGCCTCCGAGGCATCTTGCCATTTAAGACAAAAATTTAACTTCTGTGAAACCTTCTACGTCGTTGTAACTGATGCACTGTTTGAATTTGGTAAGGAAGTAATTTAAACTGTTTTGTAAATCACAAATGACTGTATTGTGCCCTCACGTTTCTACCTCAAGTTTCACATCCCTGAGAGAAACGATATCTCATCAGCTTGGGAGCACACTCCTCCCCGCATCCAGGCACACAACCACTTTGGTCATAAGATGTCCCACTTCAATTTTTTTTAAGTTGACGTCCATTCTTCTGGTTTGTATTTTTGTTGCCCCAAGCCATCATTAGTACAGGAGACAGTGATAAGTATGGAGCCTCTCCACTGCAATTGAATGGTACAGCCTTTTGTATCGTGGTGATTAATTGCAGCTGTCTTCAAGATGAAAATTCACCGATTTCTTTTATTCACAGAAAGAGTTTTCTACTTTTATGAAATAACATATTACGCAAATTGATAACAAACAAAACTTCATTTTACGAAACTTCTAGACTCGTAACATAAAAAAAAATCGACTTATAAGAGTAGCAAATATCAATTTCTTGCAGGCTCGTGAATTTCCATCACCGCCACTTCAGTCTGTATGTCTGAGCGTAAGAAGAGAAATGATTATTTATTAGGGCCTAATAATTCGGAGATTAATTGCGATCTTAATGCAAGAATTCTCCGGCTATCTGATATGCTGAAAACAAGTGACCACATTTCACCTCATTCTACTATCAAAACGATCCCGTATTTGCACTGTTTCTGTATTCCACTGCGCTGAATTGGACATTATTTTTCTGCTGTTTAGTACGATGACTTGAACTGCACCTTATTAATTCCTTGAATATACAAACAAACCCTTTAGAATCAATTGAATAAAAATTTTCTTGGATATTATCCATCGTCTAGTAAATATAAAACGTAAAAAACGTAAAACGACGTTTCGGAGATGGGACTCTATCTCCGTCTTCAGGTTCTAACACAGTTGGGCCCACTAGATAGAGCTAATCCCTATCTCCGGACAAAGTAAAAAGTGAAAGTCCCAGAATAAAAAGGCATAACCACACCATCCATCCGTGAGACTTTCACTTTTTACTTTGTCTGGAGATAGAGATTAGCTCTATCTAGTGGACCCAACTGTGTAGGAACCTGAAGACGGAGATAGAGTCCCATCTCCGAAACGTCGTTTTACGTTTTATATTTACTAGACGATGGAAGGTCCGGAGATAGGGATTAGCTCTTATCTAGTGAGCCCAACTGTGTAGGAACCTGAAGACGGAGATAGAGTCCCATCTCCGAAACGTCGTTTTACGTTTTATATTTACTAGACGATGGAAGGTCCGGAGATAGGGATTAGCTCTTATCTAGTGAGCCCAACTGTGTAGGAACCTGAAGACGGAGATAGAGTCCCATCTCCGAAACGTCGTTTTACGTTTTATATTTACTAGACGATGGAAGGTCCGGAGATAGGGATTAGCTCTTATCTAGTGAGCCCAACTGTGTAGGAACCTGAAGACGGAGATAGAGTCCCATCTCCGAAACGTCGTTTTACGTTTTATATTTACTAGACGATGGAAGGTCCGGAGATAGGGATTAGCTCTTATCTAGTGAGCCCAACTGTGTAGGAACCTGAAGACGGAGATAGAGTCCCATCTCCGAAACGTCGTTTTACGTTTTATATTTACTAGACGATGGAAGGTCCGGAGATAGGGATTAGCTCTTATCTAGTGAGCCCAAAAGAAGGCTAAATGTTCTTATGACTAACATAAATTTATTTCGTGTCCAGCTAGGTTACTAAATGGCTTCTGGTTAGATGTAGCTCAACGACAAAGGACCTTCTTCGATAAACTCGTGATTTCTCAACTGATCAAGACATTTATTTTCAGTAAACAGGGGTATTTAATACATAAACGTGCAAGTTGAAGAGCCACACAGGATTTCTGTTAACTACATCACGGGTTACAAGACGATACAGCCAAAAAATACAGATAACAGAAGAGAAAATTAAACGCTTCAAATATAAATAAAATTGAATATTACCAAAACAACGTGATATAACACACATAAAAATTAGGACTATCTTTAAAGGGCGTAACGATAAGAACATGAAGTGTTACGTAGATTAGGTTTATTTGTGATATTCCAAAGAGTTTAAACGCAAAAAGACAATCAATATGTAATTATAATGCAAAAACGACATACGGTTCTGTAAAACTAATGATAGAATGAAGAT